TAAGGCACTGGACTGCTAACCAGAGGGCTGGTGGTTCAAACCCACCAGCAACTCCTTGGAAGGAAGATGGGGCAATCTACTTCCGTAGTGATACTGCCTTGGCAACCCAAGGAGGGGTCGCTATGAGTCGGGTCTGACTCGACGGCACATAACGACAACAACAATTTATTTATGAGCTGGATCATAACATGGCATGAGAGATGGTCACGTAGAGCAAAATACACCAGCAATTGGAAGTTGTGTGACCAAATCCCACGCCCTGAAAGATGTGGTAAATTGTGCCAGTACAGACATGGTACTTGGTGTGTTCAGTTCGGGCTTTGAGGGGAAGGAACACATTTTCTTTCAGACCCTTTTGCATGGCGAAATATGAACCTGGAGGCATGTGAGTCCCAGACGGGAATGAGTGAATTTGATCATGGGCCAGAGAAACCAAAATGGAACTGCGTCCTTGTCCTGAAGGGTGACCGTGAGCAGGTTCTCGTTTGAAGCTTCAGTTTCCAGGGTGGCTTTGAATCAACCCTCAAATGGAGTGGAAACTTGTCACTCATGCTTCATCGTCCCATGGGCAAAAGGGGTGGGCATTTAATGAGTCTTGCTTTAAATCAGGGTCGTCCGTGTCAAGTGGTCCTGATGATTGCTTCCTGCCCAGAGGGGGAGCCAGGCACTGACTAGTTCAGAACTCTCTCGTGATAGGCCAGCCTGGTGGAGTTTTGATTCTGGCTTTTAGCCTGTATTTGTGCCTCACTAATCAATAATATTTGCTTTCTTTGTTTCTACTTTGACGGTTAAAACGGACACAAGACATTCACCAACAAACAGCTTCCCCATTCACAGCTTAGGGGCATGGTGACATTTTTCATGTTGTGCCACCATTATTGCTGTCCTTTTCCAAAATAGTCCACCACCATCAGCATAAACTCAGTGCCCCACAAACCAAAGCTTCCCCTTTCCTCCTCCCTCCTACCCCTGGTAACCACTAATAATCTTTGGTTTCTAGATACATAGATAGATACCAAAGATTTTATATATATGTATATAAAACCAAATATATATATATTATATACATAACCAAATATGTGTATGTGTGTGTATATAGGTACGTATATATGTAAAGCCAAATATATGTATGTATATATTTTAAACCTATCTAGGAATTTAGCTTCCCCTCCCCTCCCATCCCTAGTAACCAATGAAGATAGTTTCCTTCTATGTATAAATCTTTCCTTGACTTTTTACAATAGTGGACTAATACAATAGTTGTCCTTCTGTGGTAATCAATAATATTTTTATACCAAAAAAAAGTCTACTGGGTGGAGTTAAC